TTGCAGATTTATAAGCCTCTGGGAAAAAAAACAGCTTTTGAAATAGTATTGTAGCATCTTAATGGAGGATATTGTTTCATACTTCTGGGCTAGCTAGGTTTTTCCAGGAATCTCAAGTGTTGTGGCTTCCCTGTGTTCCTACCCCATGTGTCTCTTGTAGGCAGTGCTGGCAGCACATGGAAACAGGATTTTCTATCTGTGATATGTAGATACTGTTATAAGTGCAGTGTGTTTTCCAACCACAGCCTGATTTTAATTGTCTGTGTGTAGGAGAGATGGATCAAGGACAATGATGGGAGATCGCGATGGACAAGTGAGTTGCTTTTTATAAGCTGTAGAACTACCTCAACTCTTACAACCTGGTTTGCTGTAGTTTCAGATTAAAATTATAGTGCTAGAAGTATCTATGAGTGATAAGATTGCCTTGTTTTTGACTCGCTATAAAAGTCAGGTACACAGCAAACAAAACAAGCTTGTCAGAGGGGTGGGTGATAGGTTGCTCAGAGAGGGGACAAGTACCACAAAATCAACTCTGTAAGGTGGCAAGACTCAGTAGGTGTTGGTGTGTTCTTGTGGCCTGAGAGGCAGGCGCTGAGAGGTGGCTTTTGCTGATGGCTGAGCTGTGGGATAGCGAGAGTCCCTGACAGAATTGGGCAGAGAGGAATATCATGAAGTTCACAGGAAGAAATAAGGACAGAGCTGGTTCTGGGCTCACACACGTGTGCTTTGCCTTGCAGCATTACCCAGATGAGCGCCACGGGGGACCTGAGCGCCACTCACGGGACTCCCGGGAGAGCTGGGGCAGCTACGGCTCTGACAGGAGGATGAGTGAGAGCAGAGGGATCCCCCCCCCCTCACGGTCAGTGCTCTGAGCTGTGGCACTTCTCCTTGTGCAGCTAGTGAATGTTGTAGATGCACTTCTTGACGTGATTCTTGGTCACAAACCTCCCTCCTCAGCCCGTTCTCTGCCAGGTGCACTGCACAAGAGTGGCTCCTCCAGCTCACTCCTGTACTGCAGTAGTGCCAGGCGTCCCGTTGGGTTCTTGCTGTTGTGCAGAAGTGTAACTCAGGCTCTTCCTGCAGAGATGGCCGCGACTGGGGGGACCACGGGAGGAAATTTGAAGGGCACCAAGAGCGTTCGTGGCAGAGCAGTGTGGATGGAGGGATGATGGGACGGGATCACGAGAGATGGCAAGGTAATGCTGCCCACGGGGCGCCTGCTTGGACACAAAGCAAAATGATTCCTGTGGATATAAAGGAATCATTTCCACTCTTTTGTAGGTGGAGGTAGAGGGAGACCTGGCCACGTGATGCACCGTGGAGGCATGTCAGGGTAAGAAGCTTAAAAAGAGCAAAGCATTTCTTCGTCTTCCATTTCCTTTCCTTTCTGGGTGAGTCCATTGCATTCAAATGAGCCAGAGAAGCATTTTTAGGGGATTATCAGTTATGCAGTTTGTTAGTGAAACGTCAAGGGATGACAGAATATTCCTGTGGTTCATAATGTAGCACATCATTTATTTCAACCTGGCTACTTGAGTCACAAGAAAACAAACCCCAAACCATCTGCCTCACTTTGCAGGCGAGGAGGGTTCATGCAAGGCGGGAACCAAAGTCAGATGATGCACGGAGGAGGGATGCAAGGAGAGGGATTTGCTGGCCAGGAAAGAGCAAGCAGACCCAACGATCCCCGGTTCAACCGTCGCTACTGAATGTTTTAATTTTTAATGCTATGTGGCAACTGAAATTGATTTGTCACCCAGGGTTACCATTCCTTGGAGCCCATGGGTCACTGTAAGTGTAATTTTTTTTAAGCTGCTGCCATATTACGTCACTCAATACAATGTGAACTCATCTGTTTTGTAATGTGTTGTTCATATCTCATTTAAAAATGTTTGTTAATGAAGCATTCCATTTTCCATAAATAAAAAACAGTTTACAGTTAATGGCTTCAGTCGTCCCTGGGACACTGATTTGTTTGGCCACACGCTGAAGCACAGAATGCTCTGCCAAGGTGAAATACCCAAATGCCTTTGCACTTTCAGTAGCAGCGTGCTCCCAGCAGCACACTGACACACCACGTTACTTTAGGAGTCTTAATTAAGCACTGCAATCTAATTTTTTTCATGCTGGTGATGATGCTAGTTAAAGTTTGGACAAAGTGAGGGCGAGGGGTGAAGGATCTTTTTCTCTTCATTTTACGGTGGGAGCTACGCCTGCTTGGCCTCTGCTACATCAAGGAAGTCCAAAGCTCAAATTCCAAGACCTACATTCCCCCAGCAATCCTTGATGGAGATTAGGAATGGCTCTTAGCTGTGCTTGGGTGTCTTTGGCTGTTTTTAAGTATGCAGTCAACAGTGGTGCAGACAGAGGTTCTCCCTCAGCACAGAACTGTCGCTCTGCACGAGCCATGCTCTGCTGAGGCACCTACCACTAGGAAGACACGAAGCAGTGGATGCAGTTTGCGTGCCAAGACCAACCCCAATGAAACAGGAGCTTCCAAAGTCCTTTATTGTAGCCCTTGCTTGGCTGAGCTGCCCTCCAGCGGGACCAGCACAGGACGGACAGAAGTGCAGAGCTGCACCCAGAGGACATGCTCACTTGACGAGGTCCTTCACGTACTTCCAGCCCTCCGCCGTGTACTCACAGGCCCTGCTGGGAGCCACAGACAGGGCAGACATCACCGTGTGCACCCCTGTGAGGAGAGTGGAGAGTTATCCCCAGAAAAGCATCACTCAAAGCAAATTTCCTATCGTTCCTCTAGCACCGTGGATCTCTTCAAAGACAGAAGAAAACACAGATTTGTGTTATGAAGCTTGAGCTCGAGTACAGCCCTGCTTCCAATAGCACGAGTTCAGATGACCACAAGGTTACAACAACTGCAACTTGGATAATTCAATTTCATTTCTGGTTTTGCTGCTGACCCCAGGTGACATGTCACAGGAACGGGGGCTGTTATTTGCTGCACCATAAATCCTTGTCAGGTATTTATGAATGTTTGGCCTTCAAACATCCCTAACTGTCCAGCAATTATGGGAACGTTCCCGTGAAAAAACAGAGGGTGAGTTCAGGCTGCACTCGTGTGTGAGAACAGTTCTGTGGCCACACTCACTTGGATTTCACACTTGAAAATGAAGGTGATGAGATAAAGTGAACTGCCCACAGTCACTGCGTGTGCTCGTGGTGGAACCTGGAGGATCTGCTCCTAGATGCAGAGCTCCTGCCACATCACCACTCTTAGAGGGCAGTACTGAGACACGACCGAAATAAGATGATCTCTTGAGTTCCTTTTCAACCCAGGCTGTTCTATGATTCTTTGACAAGCTGATCACTGTTGGCCCCTTCCCACAACTACATGGAAAGTGATTTTACCTTTATTCCAGGAATCAGAGGGGGAAAAGTCCAAGCTTGGAGTGGCCGGGAGCTGGAAAGAAAAAGAAATCAGCAGTGGGGGGGCAGTGGGACAGGGCTGCCTCACCTGGAAGGGCTTTGGGACTCAGATCTCAAAGGTGTTTTGGTGCTCCCTTCCCTAAACCTCAAAGAGCATCAGCCATTGCCCTGAGATCTTGGCTGAGGGCTTGGCTCTTTTCTGCAGCACACAGCAGAAGGGAAGTACTTCTGCTGAGGTGCTGCTGGCAGCTATGGGTTTGTTGTAATAGACTCCAATATGGAAAAGACTTCTTGGCTCCTGAAGATTTTAAACATTTTAAAGGGCCTCTCCAGGCTATCTGAATTCAGCCTGACAAACCAGGAGAATCTTGGCCTGAACTTTTGAGCCCAAAGAAAAGCCTAAAACTATTACTACACACTGAAATCTCCCTCAGAGCAAACCTGCAGTCCCCTCCTTGACCTGCCTGGGCTCACTGCCTCTTTCCTTCCCAGTAAGACCCAGAATTCTCCCCACTACACTCTGAAAGTCATCCTCCTGTTTCAACCCTCCTCAAAGAACCCTCAATGCGAAACCCAAGTTCAACAGCAAAACTGCCAGTGTCACTGGAACCTGAACCATCGTCCCACTGTGTTGTGCTCCTCATTATCTGCTGCGCTCATCTGTGCACCCTCACCTCCCACCCTCACCTCCCATCCTCACCTCCCAGCCCACGTAACTCGTCCACTCTCTGACTGCAGGAGGCAGCGCTGCCCGAGCCTTTTTTAGGGCTTCAGCACCTTCTGCACCGCTGCCCAGCAGCCCCTGATCGTAGGCCACGTACACAGCAGCTCCGGCCAGGCTTCCTTTGATGACAAACCTGAAGGAACCAAAAGCAGCCACAGTTCAGTTTGCATCAGGAGTGACACCGCTTCTCTCCCGGTAGACCAGAGGCAGAGGGGCCGCCGTCGCTGGAGGTGTTTGAGGGCAGGTGGTGCTGCTCTGCCACCCCCCCCCACCAAACGTCCCTCATCTGCCAGAAACCTGCTCGCGCTTTGTCCGCGCCTCTGAGAACGGGGAAGCAGCGCCACAACTCTGAGAGAGAGCGGCCGATGCAGAGAGCAACGGGAGGACACGGCAGTGGGGACGCAGCACCGAACGGGGCCGTCAGACGCCGCTGCTCTCCGCGATTCCGAGCTCCTCCAGGGGCGGCGACCCCGCCAACGCCTCACCGCCGCGGTGCCGCCGTTCTCACCGCCGGACGAACGAGACGCACGGCGGCAGCGAGCGAAGCCCGGCCAACGCCAGGCTGCCCCAGCAGCGCAGCTCGACGGCAGCTGCGTTCAGCCGCCCGGAGCCCCGCGCGTCCCCCGTTCTCACGGCCGCCCGGAGGGGCCGCAGCTGAGGGCACCGCGCCGGGACGGCGCTCCCGCCTCGCTCCGCGCCCGGGGCCGAGCGGGGCGAAAGGCAGAACCGCGGGGCGGGCGGCGCCGGGCCCGACCGCAGCCCCGGCGGAACCGGAGGGAGGCGGCGCCGCGGACTGACCTGAGCGCGGGCAGCAGGCGGGCGGCCATGGCGGCACCAAGGGCAGCGCTCGGGCCCGCGCCGCGAGGGCAGCCGGGAGCGCCTCACGTGACCGGAAGCGAGGAGAAGCGCTTCCGCCTCGGCCGTTGCCATGGCGGCGGGGTCACGTGGGCGGGGAGCTGCGCCCGCCGCCATTTGGGGGTGAGGGTCGGGGCTGCGGGCGGTCCGGCGCTCGGGGCTGATCGGGTTCTGATGGCCCGTCAGCTTCATCGCGTTCCTTCGGCCTCCCCACTGCTGACGTCCACCTTTGCTTCTGGTTCTTCTCTTCCGAAGGTCCGCCTCACCTCCGCGGCCTGAGCGGCTTTTTGTCCCCTTCTGCACGGCGTGGAGGACGATGAAGGCCTTTGGAAAAGTGCTCTGTGCTGCAGGGAGCCTGGCTGTGCTGCTTGCCTTCTTCTGGAGGGACACCTTCCAGCCAGGTATGCTCAGCAGGGCTCAGCCCAAGCTGGGACGCACACAGTGCAACAGAACGGCTTGAATTTCCAAACTGTGATTGCAGCCTCTTCCCACTCGTGGCTGTTATGGGGCTCATAGCCTCTGCCGCTGCCTTTGCCTTTTCACTGCAAGCTTTGGGCTCAGGAACCGTTCCTGTGTGGCTGAGCACAGGAGGGCTGGCTGAACTCAAACTGATCCTGACTCCAAACCGACCCAAGGGAAACACAGAGTCATAGAATCACAGAATGGCCTGGGTTGCAAAGGCCCACAGTGCTCATCAGTTCCAACCCCCTGCTGTGTGCAGGGTCACCAACCAGCAGCCCAGGCTGCCCAGAGCCACATCCAGCCTGGCCTTGAATGCCTGCAGGGCTGGGGCATCCACAGCCTCCTTGGGCAACCTGTTCCAGTGCCTCACCACCCTGTGTGTGAAAAACTTCCTTCTCATATCCAACCTAAACCTCCCCTGTCTCACTTTAAAGCCATTTCCCCTTGTCCTATCACCATCCACCCTCACAAACAGCCATTCCTCCTCCTGTTTATACACTCCCTTCAAGTACTGGAAGGCCACAGTGAGGTCTCCCTTCTCTTCTCCAAGCTAAACGAGCCCGGTTTCCTCAACCTTTCCTCACAGGAGAGGTGCTTCACCCCTTTGATCATCTTAGTGCCCTCCTCTGGACCTGTTCCCAGAGCTCTGCATCTTTCTTGTGCTGGGGGCCCCAGGCCTGGACACACTCTGGATAATATTCCAGATTGGGCCTGACAAGAGCAGAGTAGAGGGGGCTGCAGGCCCAGGGCTCTGTTTGTGCTGCACAACTTCTGTAGAACAGAAAGCTGCTTTGTGGAAGTGATCTGTGCTGTGCTGTGCTGTGTGTTCTCCCATAAGCAGAGCAGCTTTCTGGTGCCCGCGTCCTGCTGACCGGAGCCAGCGCTGGGATTGGGGAGCAGATGGCCTATCACTATGCCACGTTTGGGGCTGAAATTGTTCTGACCGCCAGGAGGGAAGCTGTGCTGCAGGAGGTGAGGGCTGCTTTGGGTGAGGGAGAACATCAGGGCTTTGGGCACACATTGTGTTTTCTCCTTCAGAAGCAGCGTTGCACAAAACCAGCCGAGGTGCTGCAGGGAATGCTTTGTGGGTTCTGTAGAACAACAGAAGACATCAGCAGCGTGTGCTGAGCCCGCTGTGCTGCCACTGCTCTGTGCCACCCTTCTCTGCAGTGACCCCTGCGTGGGTTACTCTGTGCTGTCACACAGCAGTGCTGCTGCAGTGCGTGTTTCTCCTACCAGAGGGCACTACCACAGCACAACGGGGCTCTGTGCTCCAGAGGAGCTCAGCCGTAGGGGAGAAGAGCTGCAGTTGTGTGAGGTTCTGAGTCAGTCCTGTCTGTGGCTGTTACAGACACCCCAACCTTTGTGTGTAATGTTTGACCGGAGATGAGACTTCTTTATGGGGCGGTGTGTAGAGAATTATAGGGTGGTTTGGGTCAGAAGGGACCTCTGGCATCATCCAGCTCCACCTGCCCACAGGCAGGGACGCCTCCCAGCAGTGCTGGGTGCTCACAGCCCCCTGCAGCCTCATCTACGTAGAGCAGATCTCTCTGAGAGCTCGGGATAAGTGCCTTGCCAGGAGAGTTGTGTGCTATGAAACGAGACAGAAGGAGAGCTGGGGCAGTGAGCACAGATCCTATGGGGACATCACCTCACCACACTTTCCAACTGTGTGCCAGGCAACCTTCACACACCCCTCGGTGCAAAACACCTCTGAAAGATGAGCACTGCAGAAGCTTTGGATCAACAACAACAAAAGGCACTGAGTGCAGAGTGGTTGGAACTCAGGGATCTGTAAGATCTCACTCTGTGGTTCTGTAACCCCGTGTTCTAGAAGCATTCTTCTGAAGATGGCCTTTGGATGGGTTGATCCTTTTCCAAGCTAGATGGAATCTCTATCTTGTTAAGAGCCTCCATTCAGCTGCTGTGGGCAGACAGAGTGCTGATGTAAAATGAACTGAATAGGGGTAGATTTACATTGAAGGGTGTCTTTGTCTAGAATCGTTTCTTTCTAATTGTAGTGAGGGGGAAGGAGCTCCTTGCAGTGCCCTTATTGCTGTTCCTTCCCCACACCCCACGCTGTTTGATCACTGGGAGAGCATTGTTTTCCAGGTGATGGAGAAATGCCTGACCCTCGGAGCAAAGAAAGTCTTCTCCATCCCAGCTGATATGTCTTCCCCTTCAGAGCCTGACAGGGTGGTTCAGTTCGCTGTCCAAAAACTGGGTAAGCAGAACAAGAATGGCAGCAAACCCAACTGTCTGCTGCTGGGGGAGGAAAGGGTGTGAGGGGTTGAGGGGCTGCTGCAGGGGGTCCTCAGGGACGGCTGCCCCACTGACTGCTGTCTCTGCCCACAGGAGGGCTGGATTACCTGGTGCTGAACCACATTGGCATTTCCCCTTTCCAGATGTGGGCTGGAGATGTGGAGCACACCCGCTGGCTCATGCAGGTGAGGATTCCCAGCAGTTCTGTGGAGCGCAGCGATTCTGCTTCCCCTGGGACAACCTGGAGGGGCTCCAAGGCAAATTCAGACCTGTGGCAGCAGCTGAGAGCAACCAGTGTGTGTGTGTTTCAAGTGCAGTGCTTTGGACACTTCCTTACTCGCCTCAGTGTTCTGCTCACTTATGTTGGTGTTTGCAGAGGAACCCCGGGAGGAGATGACTTCTCTCCATCTTTTCATCCTTCCTATCTGTCCTCAGCCCAGAGCTGCTGGGCTTGGCCTGCTGTGGGTCGTTGCCCAACGTGTGCTGTGTTTATGAGGGCCAGCAGGCGAGGAGCAAACATCCCCACCCAGCTACAGCAGGTGTCTGTTGCAGAACACGCTGTGATGGCTGGAAGTGGTGTTTGCTGTTTGAGCCACTGATCAGACACAGAACTTCCCCACGGTGCCACATTTTGGGACTGTAGAGATGAAGAGCTGTCCTGCTTTGCTCCCAGCTGGGCCAGGTGTGTGACTGATGGTGGGAAGTGCGTGTTTGCTGCAGGGCAGGGAGCCTGGGGCCACGGGTACGGAAGTCCCTGCAATTTGCAGAGCAGCAGAGCTCCAAAGTGATGCTTCATGGTCATCTGAGCTCAGCTGGGGAGCAAACTGAGGCACTGCTGGGGTCCCTGTGACTGAGCAGGGGATGCACAGTGAGCCCAGCACAGAGAAATCAGGGACAGCGGCCCCTCTGCCAGGAAATGTACCTGAAGGCCCCACTGTAACATTTGCTGACTTCTGCATTGCTGTGCCTGGATCTGAAGGGCTCAGGGGGCAACATTTGTCCCCATCCCCGCTGAGATCTTTCCTCCTCCTGTTTCCAGTTTCACATCCAAGCCACGCTCCCTGTCACTGCTGTTCTGTCGGCTTGCAGGTTCCTTTCCAAGCTCTCTTCTCCTCCCACGCCCTCCTCCTTCCAGGTGAATTTCTTTAGTTATGTGGCGCTCGCTACAGCAGCTCTGCCCAGCCTGGAGAAGAATCACGGCTCTGTGGTGGTGGTTTCTTCCCTCACAGGTCAGTGCGTGACTGAGCTCAGTTCCTGCACGCCGCGCCCGTCTTTCAGCACACATTCGAGCTGTAGCAAGCAGGACGGGGGCAGGCCGGGCTTCTGCCTCGCTGGACGTTTCCTCATTCTCTCCTTCTCCCTCCAGGGAAGATTCCCACTCCTTTCACCACTTCGTACTCAGCCACGAAGTTTGCGCTGGACGGATTCTTCAGCTCCCTGCGCCACGAGCTGATGATGCAGAAGAGGAACGTCTCCATCACGCTGTGCATCCTGGGCCTCATCGACACCGCCACGGCGCTGGAGAAGACCCGGTGTGTGTGTGTGTGTGTGTGTCTGTGTGTGTGTGTCTGTGTGTGTGTGTCTGTGTGTGTGTGTCTGTGTGTGTGTGTGTGTCTGTGTGTGTGTGTGTGTGTGTGTGTGTGTGTGTGTGTCTGTGTGTGTGTGTGTGTGTGTGTCTGTGT